CCCCAAAGCCCCAAAACCCCAAAACCCCAAAACCCCGATTTGTGAAGTAGAAATTGAAAATATATTAGCCCTGTTAGGAGTCTGTCAGCATATCAATAGAGGATGGATACCTAGGAGATTGCTTCATGTATGATACTGGGCTGAATGGTGATTTACTGGGTGTCCCAATAAACTGCCCATATCTTTGTTTCTCTGTAATAAAGTTCGTATTAGTGTTCAAAACTTATTGGTAAGGTTCTTCTTTTGGTCAGGAAGTAGTAAGAAAGAGACCCTCAATGTTTTAGTAAACTTACTTTTGAAGTGCTTGTATCGAGATGATCTTCATATTGAAGAGTTTAGGGACCGTTTAATTACTGAATTCTTATGTTTCTTCATAAAGCTTTGTTCTGTATTTTTATGCCGAATATAGCTAGACATTGCTTCCATCCAGTTTATTTCATTGAAATGGGATGATTCTTGAGTCTTTTTCTAAAGTTTCTGAATTCAAAAGATCATACTGTGTTGTCAAATGTGTTGTAAGGCATTCCAAATTTTGAGCCTAGACCCTTGACTCTTATATATGAGATATCCAAAGAATTACTTGTGAAAAGGAAGCTTTGCTGATGGGTTTATTAAGTTCAACGAATGATCTCCTTGCATTTTACGTTTGGGTCTATAAGTCTGATATCCCCTTTGATTTCATTGTTTCTTCGAGCCTAAACCTCGAGTTAGTAGCTTTAGGTTAAGCTTCATATTAATCCTAGCTTTAATTTTGGAATCTAGCTTATTTCTCGGGATAGATAATGGTTTGTGTAAATGATGCTTGATTAATGAACTAGCATCAAGAGAGATTTCTCTCTTTGAGTTTTCTGTATTCTTATGAAACTTAATACAATTATTTTCTAAATATAAGGAGCTTTTGAACCTGAAACTTCTGTTAGGAATCTGCTTAGATTTCGGAGGAGATTGCTTCTTTATCCTTAAGATGTTGAAGTCCTCACTTAGAGAGTTAAGGTTCATGTTAATGATTTTTCTGTCTGTATGCGGATGCAAATTTTGCTTAACTTCTTCTCTTTCAGTCCGAGGAGGCTTATTTATAATCTTTTCATAAGCTCAATAGGCTTATTATCTAATTTCCTTTGAATTTTACTCGTCTCGAAAAGAAATCTTTGGGAATTATTTTAGCTTAGGGCTCATCCAATTATGAGAGAATGTATTGGTAAATTTAGAAGTAAGGGTTGAGCTCTCTCGTTTACCCGATGATTCTACTTATTAACCCTGAGCCTACCGATCTTATTCTTTCTGGTTGCTCGATGTATCACTCTCGAGCTAATAATTGGATAATCCTGTACCACAACTTCTTTACCACTGAAGGCATTGGGAGTTTCAATTTCCTAAACTATAAGCTCTTCCTTACATTGGAGTTATCCTCAAGATCTTTGTTGAGCTTCTCGGTTTCAATGGAGACCGGTGATGCTGGGATTAATTGAGCTTCAGAAGACTTCTTCTTGTTGGTTAATTCTTGGTTAGAGTCTTTTTCAGGCTGATCTTGGTCGGATTTGAATAAGGAATTGTACCGTTTGTAGGACTTTAGGGATTCTAAGGGATCAGGTTTGTATGTACTTTTGGGGCTGGAAGGTTGGTTCATTTTTTATTATTTTTAGAGGGGTTTTGGGGTTTTGGGGTTTTGGGGTTTTGGGGTTGGTCTAGTGGTACTGGTACA